ATTGCAAATCCTCTTTGAGAGGCCAGTTTTGAGCAGTCTGCTAATTATCACATTCTCTCTCATCTTGGATTAAACTACAGTCACATGCCCCCACCCCCACCGGCAACCCTGGCAACAAGACTCCACGGCAACAGTGTGGAAACAGGGCGCCATGGAAACAGCCTCTCTTCCCTCAAAGCATCCTGGGAAATTGTGTTCACGTTCAAGTTTGGCATGCTCTGTTGGGTAATTTTGGTGATATTTTTTGTGTTTTATTTTTTTATTTTACATTTTAAAATTTCTAATTAAATTTATTGTTAACATGTATTTAATAACTTTATACCCTGGGTAAAATCTGTTAAATAACTTAAACTTTGCTGTACAAAACATGATGTAAATAATGTGTTTTAAGACGTAGTTTATAAAAATAGGAAAAACAACATTAATATTTCAGCAAAGATGAAAATTTATGAGAACACATGTTTTGACATTTTTGTCAAAACACATATTGACTATTTAAAACAGAAATATTTGGTCATATTGCCCAGTTCCATCAGAACCCTTTGAACAGACGTGAGGATGATCGGAGACGTCGTTTTAACCAAACACTAGAACAGCTTAAACGTGGCTTGACTCTCACACCTACACAAGCAGAACCAGGATGAGAGTGGAGAGTGGAGAGGATAAAAGAAAGAGCTGGAAGAAGGCCAGAAGGAGGAGGGAGACAGGCGGAGAAACACCAAAAGTGGTTGGTCGACTGAGATGGAGAAGCACCGCACCGAGCGGGTGGCCGCAGGGAGGGAGAGAAAGAGAGAGAGGGTGAGAGAGAGAGCGAAAGTGAGAGAGAGAGAGAAGTAGACTTGCAGCTCCTGAGCAGAACAAATGTGTTGAATTGCCGCTGAATATAGGTCACACATCTCCAGTGACTGTTCCCTTCCCTCCACTGAACCAGCTTCCTCCAGAACACGCTTCATACAAAGTCCCGCATAATTTGGACCAAAATCTATTAACACAGACTTGTCTAAATTTAAGCCTTTTTACGTCAGAATGCATCTCACAACACAAAGGACCGACTCTTTCCTGAAACTCCCACATTTCAAAGTCAAACAGTTTATTCCTGCTCGTTTGACAGCTTATATGAAAGCAGCCATACAGAACGCATCTAAAGCTGATTAATATTTTAATGGCGGGAAAGTTCCTAGCATGAATAATCCACCTTTCATTGCTATATACTCTCAGTAAGGCAGCCACTCAACAAATTGCAGAGTAGTAAATGATTATTTACAGCCTGCTCCATGGAGGTTAACAACAGAGTAGAAGAGAGCGAGAGGACAGGACTGACTGACTGGGCAAAAACAAGACAGAAAGTGGGGGTGTAAATAGGCAGATATGATACAGAAACAGTGACAGTAGAGGTAAGGTTGTCAAAGCTGTTATATCCCATTCACACCTGTCTGTCTCCCTGGTTGTTGCTTCATGGTGTGTGAGTGCACCTACAGATCTATCAACACAAACACAACACGTCAGCCTGGGATCCAAAAGCCATCCATCTTACTCTGATATAAACACATGTACAGGAATGCAGGTGTTTGGAGCTCAGGGTAACATATAATGCAAACCTCCAATGTTAGTGAGACATGAATTACTCTGTGCTGCTGCTATCATCAGGACTCAAGAAGGTTAGCAATTTCATGAAGGAATGAAAGCAGCTTCTGTTTAGGTAGCCTAAGCACACCTTAGATTACAAAAATGTCCTTTTTTGGTCTGAGAAACACACACAAAAAAAGCATTAACTACGGTAAATCTCCATATTCTTCCACTATGGCCAATGTTTTAATGCATTTTTATGTACAACTGAGCTCGAGACAATTTTGCCCACTTATAAGTCATATTATTTTATCTGAGTACGCCCAGTTTTAAAAGAACGGTACGTTATCATTAACATCTTTACAAGCCCTTTCAGTGCTCATACCTGAATCTTTTATATTTTGTGAACTAAAGTACTTGACAATTATTCAAATTTGATTGGGAGCCCCCGTTCGTACTAAAGCAGTTAACATTTCAGGGGGAAAAGAGTACACATGAATGTGCAGTAAGCTGTGTTAAACTTCAGTATTTAAGTGGAAATCTATGAAACACTTAATTTTGAAAAAGGTTTCAACACATAAATTAGTCTTCATGTTAATAACACGCTTGTTGTTACTAACATTGACACCTGCTAACTTTCAGAAGGTAAGCTAGGCTCAACAACTGACAAAGAATAGAATTACTTTATGGATCGCAAACTGGGAAATTGTGGTGTTACAGCAGCAAGTTATCAAAGCAAATAAAACAATATAATAATAGATACATAAATAAGCACTTAGAATATAAATAATAAGAATAGGAAGAGATTTATACATCAAGGATTTAACTTCACATTCCTACTGGTTTAAAAAAATGAAAAATGAAATACAAGATTTATTCAGGCTAACATTAGCTTGCAGTCAAATACCTGACCTGACAGGATGTTGAATAATGAACGCCTTGCTGATTTTTATTCAAACTCTAGAAATAAATGACGCAAAAATGGTCTATTTTAAAGAACCAAACTTTTTGCCAAAAATGTTTTAACGTAAATGTTAGCTAGGGCAGCATAAAGCATATTTATAATGCCAAACAAAGCTATGTGGACTCAAAACAGTATTATCCTGTATGAATAAATGATTTCTGTCAAGTTTCATTCACCAAAGTACCATAAAAAGTTGTAATAGCTTATGATGATAAGTTTCTTGTAGGTATTTGGCTAGTTAGCTAGCATGATTATACAGTTTAAATGGCGCATGTTTGGCAGGTTTTTTTTGTACAATATGTATAGAATACGAGTTAGGCTTAATATGTCTTTAATGTTCTTTCAATTGCAGTTATCATTAATAAGCAACAAATAAGCAGTTAGCTGTACTGAGCAGTTTCAGCTAACGTACTGAATATTACATGAATAACTTCATTACAATACTCAGAAAATGTCTGCAAAGATTCATTTTAACGTCCCGTCAGGTTTTTTAGTGGCCATGTCTAATACGTATGTATTCCTTTATGAATAGGCTATAAGAAAAAGAAAGATCTTCGTTTTATTAGTCACTAAAACAACCATTTTACGATCAAACATGTTTGAATATTGGAGGATTTTACAGTCGTCTACTGCCACCTGACATTTCATGCTCGGCTTGATCTGCCAGCTATCGTGTTTTTTTCTGCCTGGGTTGAGAGAAAGAGGTCAGCTGTTCACTCTGTGGTTTAAGGGATGAGCGGAGGAACGCAGTGATATAAAAATTGAAGGATATGGAGCGATAAAGATAGCCGAGGAATGAAACTAAGTGGATGTTGGACGGACACCTCCCGGGAGGATTGATGAAGTCAGCGCCCCACTGCATGAAGTCATGCTTCTGACTATCAGATTCCTCTGCTTTATGCAGGACTGCAGGCCTGAACATCATAACTCAATAAGTCACTCCATTTTCGGGTCTCGCATAGGCGTTCATGTTCTGCGCCGTGCGGGGAAGGGTGCTGTGGTGGTCGGTGTGAATCAATGCTGTGATCAATATATTTCAGACAGACTGTTGGGAAATGGAGCAGGGGACGGGGGTTTTGCTTCACTTAGCTGTTGCTGCAGGATCCTCTGGAACTAGTCGTGGTGATTATGTCATGCCCTCTTTCACCTTTTTATTTTGGCACTGACACACTTTTTGCAACGACTCAATGGATCACCACACAAGCAACTGGGAGAAAATCCAGTCCTCTAATGCATCTCTACCCACATGCAGCATAAACCAAGACAACTACTCACACACACTCATGGCATGACATCACTGCCAGTGTGAGAGGCATTTAAACCCATATCAGATTAACTTAAGAGGGGGGAGCATAAGTAGCTTGGAGAGGACGGATATTGGCATCACAGTCTGAGGAAAAGACAGTGGTTCATGAGATTGGGTTGTGTGGACCAAAGCTCAAATTAAATAAAAGGGGAGGGGGGGCAAGGTGGGAGTCGTGTCTTGAGGGGTGTGAATGTCCACAATGAGGAGCCTGAATTGAGGAAAGAAGGAAAATAAATATAAAAGTATGTGATGTGAATTAAAGCGAGGGCTTGGAAAAACCATTCTGGGTCTGAATGGAAGAGGACCACAAGGCTTGCGGATGGTTTGTCACATACATCCCATGGATGCTGAGGGAGAATGACAAGCTTTTTTCCCATTAGGCAGTGCAGGAATGGGCAGCAAGCAGAAAGAATAACCTTCAATTTAACTATTCAATTAGATACCAATTGTTAACCATTGATCTCCCACCTGTCTAACCTTTTCTGTCCAGACACACAATCCCCCTCCTAATCCTCCTCCCCCCTCCTCCTCCTTCACTCTCACCATTGCATCCCCCCCCCCCCCCTCATTTCCCGCAGCCCACCACACCAATATTCTCTCATGTATCCCATCTCCATCCTCATTTCACATCGCACTTTAAGAAGCACAGGAAAAAGGGTCCTTTCAACGGCCAGCACAGAGTGGGAGGGCTGTAGCTGCAGGGCCAAACACGGTCCACCCTCCGTTAACAGATTGGCTTTAATCCGAGAGCCAGCCTTATGGATGTGTGTCAGCTCTCGTTTGGCCAATTTATCTGCGGCTCTGCTCAGAATGAATTCACCACCAAGCAGTATAGGTAGCCTATAGGCCAGGCCCATGATGCTTCACTGATAATACAACTGACGAGGTGTTGGGTTTGATTTCTAATCAATGAAAACATGCATTTATAAAGACACAGCCCCTTTTCCTGGTGGGTACGGTATGAGGAATCGTTTCAGTCGATGAAGGCAAAGCAACACCTGCCCAAACCAAACCCGATGTAAATCATGCGAAAAAGGCGTAAAAGCATCATGCACCATAGGCCGTGAGGCGGTGAAAGAGCAGGCTTCATCACACCCTGAACGCTTAAATCTGTCATTGATGTTCAGCTCGGGTGACAGTGACACTACATTCTTGTTGGCTTACCTCTGTGAAAAACCCCTCCATCCTCCCTACTCCTTCCAGACGTGGCGCGCCCGGCCCCGCAGAGCGCAGACACCGGCTTCGGCGTAAATCTCGCCGACGGAAGCGTGTTCGCCAAGAAGAGCTGGGGAAGGTAGCGGTGCCTCTGTGTCGGTGTTTCCCATTCACCGAGCGATTATCTTCATCCTCCAAATGGCTCAAACACACCTCGGTGGCGTCTTCGCGTTCTGCACCAACAGGGCACACATGCGGGGGGGAAGAAAAAAAAATCCCTAGGAGGCTGTGAGGGGGGGAAATGAAATATGTCCACGCCAGGGATCCGTCGGAGGAGCGTTAATTGAAGCGCACTGGTCTCTCAGACGTGCCTCGTTTCAGTGGTCCAGTGGAAGTGTGTGTGTGTGAATATACGTGAGTGTGTGTTGATGTTTGTGTGTGTGAGGCTGAGTATGGTGCGTGGGGTTGAGAGAGAGAGAGAGAGAGAGAGAGAGAGAGAGAGGACCAGTACGGGGGTAGAATAAACTCAAGCGCTGCCCACCTCACACAGCCTCCTCCAATGCAAAACACACCTACTCAATCACACACATGCACTAACACACATGGAGCAAAGAAAAGTCTAGGTTTGAGACGTTTTTTTTTGGTTCCATGGTAAACACTGTACAAACATCTGGATGTTTCTACCCCAGTAAACTCAAGGTCCCAGTTTTGTGTTGCCCAGACCACCTAAGAGGGAAACAGAAAGTAAGGCTTCTGTGATTTGTGACTTTCAGATGCAGGTAGGGCTGGGCGATATGGACCAAAACTCATATCTCGATATTGATTAGCTGAATGGCGATACTCGATATGCCTTTCATTAACAGTGAAAACACATGGAAAAATAAACTGCCTGTTTGTGAATTTAAAAAGTATATTATAAAATAAAAATATTCCTTAAATACAATAAAAGAGAGAGAGAGGAGGAGGAGCAGGGTCATCATCAGTGAGATGAGAAAAAAGGTGACGTGGCACCTCTGTAACGTTATTTTAATGCAACATAAACTATATCGATATTATTGATGTTGTCCCCACCCTATATCTGGTTTGAAAATATATCGATATTTCTTAAAAACTCGATATATTTCTCAGCCCTAGATGCAGGTGATTTCATCCTATTTTGTTTGTTTACAACAAAATACCAAAAGAAAAAAACTATTTCCAACAATTGCACCAGCAACATGGGTTACTCATCAAGAACCCATAAACATATAATGTATGTCAAGTATTGTCTTTGTTTACTTTGAGCCTACTTTTGCAAATGATAAACAGAAGTTATAGAGATTGAAATTACTCAATTTGAGGAGTTGTTTGAGTGGATAGAAAATGTAACACAGGGAGAAATGTACAGATTTTCTCTATGAAATGTTTAAATCAGCCATGAATAAAGAGCTGTCTTCGTAATTTACTCTTGCCAAAAGAAAGGTATATGACGGGCTGAGGTTCATATATCTGTATAGTCTTTTCGTAAAGGGGTAACTCCTCACTGAGGTGGTCGGTGGGTTAGTCAGAGCCCCTGTAGGGTGAAAAATGATACCGCCCAACACACGGACCGTAACCAACACAATGGGGGAAGAAAATAACCTCAAAATCAAGAATAATAACACATGTCCCCAAAGAGCGCCGTTTAAGTAGAAATGGATAGACAGCTGGTTTATGTGATGAGGACCATGATTGTGGTTTTATTCTCCCTTTAAGAAAAGCAAGCTGCGGGAGCCAGGTGCAGCCATCAGGACCCCAGCAGGGTGAGGCCTCTGTGTGGGGTGAAGTATTGTGAAGCTCAGTCTGTTCCCTCTGGAGCCCTGGAGGTATAGAGGGGGGGGCTCCAGTGTGGAAGTATTATTTATCAGTGCCCTCCATCTTCATGGAGACAGATCAAAAGCTTGCAACTAAAACAGGGCCCCTATTTTTTGTTCAAAGTCTGGGTCTTTCCGAAGGGGTGCACACACTAATAATGTATGCACACACACACACACACAAACCTGAAGGAAATGGGACCTGAGATTGTAATCTGTAATATGACGTATAGCCTGAAGGGCAGAGAGAACCTGTAGTGAACCTGAAACTCCAGCAGCAAAGACTACCAACAGTTCATAATTCATTACTTACTCCTCAATATTTAAAACTAAAGTGTGTATGCTGCCACAAAAACACAAAAAAAAAAAACATGAAAGAAGCTGAGGACTTCCTGGTAGAATAGTTGCTCGCAATATGCAGAAAGAGCATGCAGATTCTACAAAGTTAGTGGTGATGCATTCAGGTACCAGAATCTGTTTATTAACACGAGAATAATAACGTTAGACTACATTATGGGTGGTCTAATAAGTTGGTCAAAGGAATAAATCATAGAAACTTCATTATCTCTATGTGTCATGAAAATGATCAATACACCAATATCAGGAAGCGTATTTTGAAACAGAATCTTTAAGGGTTATTTCCCATCAAATTGACTTTAAAGTGCACCATCCATTTATGATAAAGGGGCTGTTAATTGTTCTGCACTCTTAAACTTACCTATAGAGTCCGCTGCTCAGTACAGTCTGTTAATGGCTTCTTTTCTTTTAAATAAAGTGAATATTTGTTCATTGTTTTCACTGAACATGTAAAACAAGACATTTGAAGATATTCTCTTCATGTATAAGAAGATTTATTGAAGAAAATGAACATTAGTCACAACTCTTATATCCGTATCAGAACATAAACATAAATTAAAACAAATACTTGTGGATAAACTCTCCATTACACTTCATGGCTCCTTTTAAACACAACCGGTCAACAGATTTTAGATCTACATGAAAGTCACTGACCAAACTAATCAGACCCAAATCTGCATGGAAAAATACTTGTGTTTATGAGGCAGAAAAAGGTAGAGGACCCAAATGAAGTCTCATGAAAAAAGGTATTTATTTCAAGAACAAAAACAAAGCTTACTTTTTAAAAGTCCAACAAAATCCAACAAGAGAAACAAAAGAGCCACGAGAAAACACAGGAACACGGGTGTGAAGCCGACTCAACATGAGCAGGTAGAAGTATGAACTGATGACAAGAGCAAAGGTAAAGTGAATCTAAATAGACTAAAAGACAATCAGGGCAATCCAACATGGAGGGAAACCAGACAAAAGGGGGGAAGTAAGACAAGAAACACTGGGGACAAGAACTACAAAATAAAAGAGGAAACACTCCAGACAAGACAAGGGAAAAGAGAAACACACGGATACAAATGAAGAAACTTAAACCAGGAATGATGAAGAGAAAAATACACACAGGTGGATTACAGCAACACAAGGGAACACACAACAAATACAAGATCAGATGGATGGATGTCAAAATAAAACAGGAAATTGAACAAAATACAACACTAAACAAGAACAAATCATGACACCCTGGAGTGGAGTAAACGAGGGGGGGGGGGGTTGTTTCTCTTTGTGATTACATGGCTGAAAGCCATCGACAGACAACTCATCTTACATGCACATGTGTACAGCAACTCACACATGCATTGAAACCCACAGACGTTAGAAAGTCTAGGGATATTATATTCTCTTTACCATGACAACACCAGGACTGAGTGACCCTCAGCGGTGAATTGTGGGATAGATTTTGTTGCTGGCGAGTCAAGAGCAGAACTCTGCTTACTCATCTGACCTCACCGCCTCGTCTCTCTCTTTTCTCCTTGATGTCCCCTTCTCTTCTGACAGTCGCAATGAAAGTGTGTGTGGGTGTGTGTGTGTGTGGGAGTGTGGGTGTGGGTGTGTGTGTGTGTGGGTGTGTGGGTGTGTGGGTGTGGGTGTGGGTGTGTCGGGTGTAAATCAGTGAGAAGTGTGTGTTGGACAGATCATCAATAGGTCCTCTGGAGATAAAGCAGACAGATTACTGAAGATCTTGTATTCGAGCCCACCCATCCATGGAGCTGACTCTTCTTCTGTGCGAGTATTTATGGTTTAACGCTCACATTTTCTGAACCACTAGTAAACAGTTTAACACATGTATCTGCTAACTGATGTGTGCGCAGGTCGTATGTTGCACATGCTAGTAGACATGACTCTCAATGTCACAGCCAATCAGTTTTAACGAGCAGTGCGTCCATAAATCTCTTTTCATTTATTGCTGTCTCTGCCTTTCAGTCGCCCCCTTTCCTCTGACCCTCTTAGGCGCTCTCTCTCTCTCTTCCTCTGCAGACTCATCTGTTTATTGCTGTCTGAGAGGACACGCTGAGTCAAAAGAGGTGCGGGGAAACTCAGTGTGAAATGCCCTGATTGATTGTCAGCCTCAGTGTGTGCTGGTTAACTGGTAAAAATGGGACAATCTAAATTAAGGCCTGAGGGGAAAAGTTTGGTCCCAAACAAGGTCTCTTTTGACTTTTTTTTTATTATGGTGGCAGGGAGACAAAGGCGCATTGTATGTTGTCATTTACAACACATTTAAAGATGCAGCCTTGGAAAATGTTTGAAAAAGGCAAAGGTATCTAATGCCTTTTTTATTCTTATATAAAAATATTTGAGCATGCCGTGTTCTACAATCTGCAATACATCAACAAAGCCCCTCCTCTGGACATAAATGATATAACAATAAATGAAGCAGCTTATTTAAACCTTGTTTGCAAAGAGACAAAAGCAAGTACAAACATTTTCTTGGATGTAATATTGAGCAAATGAGGTTATTTAGTCTCAAACTTTCTTTGAATAACTCAGTCTTAATCTTCTGGCTGCTGACGGCAAACACTCCACTTCTGCTCTTTAATGTTAACGGAAAAATCTCTCACATTTTCACCAAACATCAGGACACATGTAATAACAGCACTACCATCTCATCTCAACTCCTCTTCAACTTTATTTGTCCCAGAAGAGCGATTGGCTTTGCGGCAAGGCAGAACAAAACGGAAGACAAAAGTACATCCAAAAAGCCAACACGGCAAAAATGCAAGAGGCACTGAATACATCAGCGACTGAGAAACAGCCTCTTTACTTCTGTATTGATTATCAGCTATACTGCGGATATTGACCATTAACCTTTCTGTCTGGGGAGGGAGTGTGAAGGACATTTGCATGTCTTGATGCACAACATTAATTTATGACAACACATAGACAACAGAGACGGACGGACAAAGAAACATGCTGTGCGTATATGAAAAAATACTAATGACGCAACAGCTTATGATTTCAGTGATAATTTTCTTTGGTTACTTTTTATTATTATGGGCAAAAATGGCCTCTTTGGTATACAAACACATGGGAAAGTGAATACAAAGGCACTGGGCCAATGCGACGCTGCAGAGGGACAATCCATACAGTCTGGTGTCAGAGATCACTCCCTGAGGACAAACATACTGAACGATTCATACATTCATCATCCCTAATGTGCCTCCCTTCCTCACACACACACACACACACACACACACACACACACATACACACACACACACACACACAGTGACATATATATATATGATGTCATCGGATCTATGTGACTCATGCAACAAACAGTTTGTGGAACTGGATTCATAATGAAATCATATTTCTGAGAATAGGAATAAGAAGGTCATTCGGTAAGAAAAGTTCTGACCAGGCTTCTTGTAAAAGCAGATAAACTGTAGCAGATAAAGTTGTAATTACAATCAGTAGACCGTGGAGGGTATTATAACTTTTATCCAGAGACAGCTGAGGACTATTTTTAAAAATACACATTAGTCCAATAGTGCTATATCAGCAAACTATGACTTAAAGTTTGACCTCTCCTCTATTCCTCTCCTCCACATCATACCACAATAATTGTACTCCTGTATGGGACTGATTTATGATGCTAAACCTCCAGCTTACATTTTATATGATTTTATAGCAGGTAAGAGACAGATTCTGACATGCAAGGTACTAATAATAGATAAGTCTGGTGTTCTATATTTGTATTCATGCCAACAAATCTCAGGTTGATTGTGCCATACCTGCAACATATAAATCCATCAACATGAAACATTAAAAAACAGAAATCTATGCAACAGTGGATAAGTCCTGATGGAATTGGGATAATTAAAGCAGTTAAAAAAACACCACAGGGTTACCAGCAGGGAGAGGAAGACAACCAACGATTTAAACATTGCCCCATGTTTCAACTGATTGTGTGTGTGTGTAGATTTCATACCTGCTGTGTGGGGGTTTACATGGGGGGGGGGGGGGGGGGGGGTGTGCATGCACAGGAAGGAGCTTTAACTAATTAAGTTTCTCCAGAGAGATGACTTCATTTCGATCCCCCTTTCCCTGCCCCCTTCCCAGCTACCCCATGCCTGCCACACCCTGCCCCGCCCACCCATGTTATCCCAGCACCCCCCATGGGTTGCATGGCAGCATGACAGCACTTCTTTGGACCAAATTAGCTGTCAATGCAACCCCTTAATTCCCAACAGACAGTGGGGTAATTTAATAAGCCAGCTATAGCCTGCAGCAGGAGCAGACCAACAGAGATATGCACAGAAACACACAGACAAATGTCCAAAATTATCATATCATACAAAAACACAAGGAGCAGGGAACGCTCAGTGAGTGTGGCAACAAGGAATTTATAAATATTTTTAAAAATCATTTCACATTTAAAAAAAAAAAAAGCACTTGACGGTGAAATTAGCGTCTACTCCACGTCACTTTTGAAACACTCATTTTTATTTTACAAGCATTGTGATGAGGAAACAGCAACATTTCTAAAGTTAGGAAAGCCAGAAGTAAAGCAAGTGATTGAAAAAAGGAAATGAGGGAGTTCAAATTGGTAGAAAATTCATGAAAATGTAGAAGAGACATTTATTTTCTCTGCGCAACTACATTATATTTCTATTTATTACATTATTTCTTTCTACACTTATAACGTAGTTACTGTTATGTGTTTGTCAGCCACTAAGCTGCACTGGGACAGACTTTTTCTACTGGATTAGATCGAATGAATCCTAATCCTCATCACAGCAGATTATATTACCCAGATCACTATAATAACTGGATTACACAGACTACCCACTGACTCAAGACATCCCTGCCCTTTAAAAACACTATTTTCACACAAAAAAATCCAGAACCAATGTTGGAAAATGTTGGAGCAGTAAGACAGATGAAGACAAATCTCTATTTGCAGGTGTCAGAATGAAAACTGATACTCTCCTATTAATTTGTCTGTCTCTGGAGATCAGTTAATGAAATCATTATTAACGAGTGCAATTCACCAAGGTATGACATCTGACTTCACAGAAACACACACACACACACACACACACACACACGGTAAACAGTGTAACTAACGTGTGACACAGTGAACAAAAGCCCAGCTGTCACTCCAGTGACTCTACAATCATAAATGAATATTCATCACAGCAGAAGGCAACAGAAGGTGAGCCCGGCTTTGTTGCTGTGAAGTCGACTCCTGTGACTTCTATTATTTTATCAAGACATAATGTGCATGACATGACCTGCAGAAGAAATTAGGGAAATTATGGATCTGATTATTTATCTAGCATAAGGGTTAGAGTTACCCTAAGCCTCAAAAAACAGATTTATGTTAAATAACATGAAATTAAGACTGTACGAATGCGTGTTTGGATAGTTTATATCTCATTTAATTATATCTGTTTATATATCCACAACTCAAAGCTGAAAGGCCACAGTTATGAGGAAAAGGTGGATTTTATATTTTTATCTTTTTACAATTGTTAAACTTTTTTTATAAATAGATAGATAGATACTTTATTGATCTCGAGGGAAATTCAAAGCATCCAGTAGCAGGTTAGGAAGACGTACATGACATGAAACATTAGTTACAAATTAAAACACAAAACTGACGCCCCCCCTCCCATACATACATATTAACCCGAAAAAAGATTTAAAGAATCCCCCTCGATGAATCAAACTTAAAATGTGCAATTAGAAAATAGACTTATACAAGAAATGTACATGACCCGTACAGGGATAAAAATACATGTGCAATTTAAACAAGAACCTATAAACAGTTGAGGAAAAAATCTGTAATTAGACCTGAATATAAAAAAAAAGTGTTGACCTTCTGAAGTTGTGTTGTTTATATATGTACAGCAATGTTTAAAAAGCAGATAGTGCAAAATAGGTTTGTATTTTTTTTTACTAGAAAGGTTCTTTGGAATAACTCTTAAATGTAACATTTATTATAAAGAAAATGGGGATTTCCTACAATAATAATAATAATAATAATAATAATAATAATCTTAAAGTATTCAAGAAATATTTAATTGTTTTTGAAATTTCATCAACCATATACGTTGAATTGTATGTTTATTCATTTTTCTGTTAATTTAAATGTTGAATTAGATGTAACAGCATCATCAAGAGTGCACTTACAGTATGACGCTACCTCAGACATTGCAGTACCGAAAAACGACCGCACGATGGCAGTAAAGACGTTTCAATAACTGGACGAACCCAGAGCGTCTCGTACAGGGCGTGTCACTGACAGCGTTCAACTACACCCCCCCCCCCCTCTCCCCCCCTCCTCTAGAGCCCGCCTCTGCACTCATCTGATTGGCTGCTGCTCAACACCGTTCTGGAACGTTTGTCTTCTGATTGGACGACGTTCCTGCCCTTAAGCTTTGACAGACGCCACACTGCTAGCAAAAATGAAACTGGTTTTGAGTGTGATTTGAGACACAGGCAGCCAAGAAGGAAACGAAAACAAAGACAGATTTAATCACAAAATCACCTTGTTGAGTCTCCGTGTTGACCCGGCGGAGCCCGAGAGGAGGAACAGCCACACAGCGGTAAGGACTCCATGCGCCATGATGTGAAGTGTGACATTATTTTAAAGCGAGGGAAGGCAGGCCTGTGCTGTCAAATCCCGACAATAACAACACCTGAAGCAGTCCTCCTGTGCTACCTTCTCACGCTGACATGTAGCTGCTAATTCATTTGTAATGGAAATTCCTCCTTCCTTTTTTTTTTTTTTTTCAGCTTGGGCTATGAGTCAACAACAGAGCTGGATAAGACTACTGCGATGGAGGTAAAACTAAAAAAGCAGTGTAAGTACTTGTGGGGGGGGGATTAAAATGCAATGGTTCCCTAAAGTGGGGGTCAGGAGTCACTCTAAGGCAACTGGAGGCCCCCATCAACCCTCAATGTGGCCCTCAGGTCAATTTTTACATATCAATTACGAAAATGAAATCATGAAAACCAGAAATATTTCCATAATAATATTTGATCACTGCCATATGTTGAGTTAAATTTGAGACATAATAGATTTATTTTTTATTTTTTTATAATTGATTCATAATTGATCGTTTTTGTATTCTAGAATTTGGCCCTGACACTGAGAGGGGGGTCCGGAGACGCCTTCAATAACCAAATAATGAATATTAACTTTTTGTCCGACAGTTTAAAAAAAAAATGAAGATTACTTGTGTTAAGCTTTTAGTCTTTCTTACAATAAATTGCTAAATATGAATATAAAGGGACAGTGGAGGTCACCAGTCTGTATCACAGTTTTTGTGGGAGTCCCGAGCTGAAATGTTTGGGAGTAATGTTCTAATGTTCATAACTTGACTGTGTGCTGAGTCAATACAGTTTTTATACATTGCAAATAGACAAACAGACATCCTGAAACAGAAGTCTGGGTTAGCCACCTGCTTCACTTATGATCAGTGATGGGTTTTACTTCCAGTCATAGACACTTTCAGTCCAACTGACCAGAGCGTTTTCAACAGTGAGGTGCTATACCACAAAGGTTTCACACACTAGACACTAGAGTCACGTTTAATTTGAAGAACAGACTACGTGTGAACGTGGTCGCTGAATATTTCCAAAGCGGTTATTCACATATTCACACATTTGTAATCCTTTCTGGACACATTGTTGTAATATCGAATCTCTAAAAGTGTTATAAATTGTTAATTAAGATTATTTGGCTCTTGAAAAAAACGAAACGTCGGACGGTTCTGATTAGGAAATCGAAAGCCATTTTGACTCGTTTGACTAGAGCGTGGAAAAGCAATCAAATAATAGTTTGTTTTGCGCCCCCAGAAACACTGCTAATGTAGATAAGAAGGCCTCGGTCGAGCGTGTAGACTCCACTCTACTGTCTGGAGTGTGTAATGGTTATAAAGAGTTGATTATTAACCATGATATGATGTCTTTATTGTTTGCTCTCTTCTGATGGTGACACTCTTCATCTCTCCTTGTTCTCCAGTCTGTAGCATTGGGCTCAGTTACTTGGTGAGACTGAAGCTGCTGTCACCATGGCTCACTTTGACACAGAATACCAACGCCTGGAGGCGTCCTACAGCGACTCTCCCCCTGGAGAGGCGAACATGCTGATGCACGTGCCCGAAGGAGCTAAATGTACGACGGTGCACAAACAAATCGCAAACACACAACCCCTCCTCTTTTACACTCATTAGTGCTAATTTGCAATTAATCTTTTGCAGCCCAGTGGCATCACATCGAGAACCTGGACCTGTTCTTCCAGAGAATATCCTTTTACATCATTTGAGTATGTGTTCTTAATAGTGCTGTGTTGTGAGTCTTCCTGTCGGCTGAATTTGACCTCTCCAAAATGACACAATGACAGTTTCCACAAGAGTAGGACTTCTCACTTCAGATATATCTGCACTGTTCCTTAACATCCATCACGTGTATAATCTGCACCAGAAGAATGGCTTCACCTGTATGCTGCTGGGAGAGATCTTTGAGCTTGTGTATGTATCCTATCCATCGTCAGCTTGAGTGTGACACAGACAGAGTCTTGACGTCCTCTGTATGTTCTCTTATTGTGGTTCTCTTCTCCTTTGTATCCATGCAGCCAGTTGCTGTTTGTGGTTGGCTTCACCGTGTTCTTAGCCAACTGTGTGGACTATGACATACTCTTTGCCAACAAGTTTGTAAATCACACCGATTCCTCTAAAGTCACCCTGCCAGACGCCTTTCTCCCGGTGGATGTGTGCAGTGCACGGTGAGTGTGTCACTGTATAGTTTTTTTACATAGCAGCTACGGCTGTTATTTTGCTTTAGTGTTAAGCTGACTGAATGATCATTTTTATGATTGTTAAGATACAGAAGATGTTTCAATTATAGAGAATCATGTTTTTTTTTTACCCCCATTGCAGAATCACCGACAACGCATTTGTGATCTTTGTGCTGATAATCTCGGGGGTGTTTTGGCTACACCGCATGGTCAAATTCATCTACAACATTTGCTGCTACTGGGAGATCAGATCCTTCTACATCAATGCACTCAAAATGACCATGGTGAGACGGACACATTTTTTTTAAATAGATACTTATTGAAAATGTGTTTTGTTTGCATTATATACAACAGTAAGTGTCCACTTACTTTCACTTTCCTTATTAGTCAGAGCTCCCCTATGCCACATGGCAGGAAGTTCAGGCCAGGATAGTGGAGATTCAGAAGGAACACCAGATCTGCATCCATAAGAAAGAACTGACGGAGCTGGACATTTACCACCGCATTCTCCGCTTTAAAAACTACATGGTGCGTCCACTTGCACACACACAAAAAAAAATCTTTAACACTCCTTTTATGTCTGGCAAATGTATTTCAAAGTTCTCAAACTGTGAGGCAGGAAACCAGAAGCTTTCATCATGTAACTCCTCTAGGTTGCCATGGTGAACAAGTCACTCCTTCCTGTGCGATTTCGACCTCCGGTACTTGGTGACTGTGTCTTCTACACCCGGGGTCTTAAATACAACTTTGAGCTAATCTTCTTCTGGGGTCCAGGTGTGTCCATGTTTTATTTAAATTCTATGTACAATATGTGTCTGAGTTCTGATGTCGTCTAACTAAGGTGAATCGATCTATTTGCGTGCGTTCGTGTATTTGCCTGTTGCCTAGTTTTACGATCACATAGGGCTCTTGACTCTTACCTTCTTTGGCTGTGTCGTTGCTCCAGGCTCTCTGTTTGAGAACGAGTGGAGCCTGAAACCAGAGTACAAGCGGGGAGGTAACAGGCTCGAGCTGGCAGACAGGCTCGCGTCCCGTATCCTGTGGATCGGGATCGCCAATCTGCTGCTGTGTCCGGTCATTCTGGTGTGGCAGATTCTCTACGCCTTCTTCAGTTACACCGAGGTCAGTGGTTCACCTGCGTACACACTTTACACCAATCTTCTTCCTTATGTATGTATATATATATATAGTGCCCTATAGACAGGAGTTTGTTGTGTGTGTTGTTAAGGTGATCAAGCGAGAGCCCGGTTCTCTGGGAGCGAGATGCTGGTCTCTGTACGGTCGATGTTACCTGCGTCATTAAAGTCTGTTTCCCACCCTTTGTCTGTTCCTTTTTAAGGCTGCATCCAAGTATATGAACTGTTTTCTGTCACCGCTGCTGACAGTGGTGGCCAAAAATGTAGCCTTTTTTGCCGGGTCTCTTCTGGCCGTCCTCATCGCTCTGACCATCTACGATGAGGACGTTCTCGCAGTGGAACATGTTCTATCATCAATCACGCTCCTCGGAGTGTGTATCACAGTCTGCAGGTAAATGATAAGTGATATACTCTAATCTCTCTCCTATCAATCTTTCAGAATTCTATTATAGCTCACATTAAGTGAAACATTTGGTAAATGCACAAGTTGTTTGTTGCAGCAACTTAAACAAAATTAGATAGAAATATTCATCTTCATACATTGTGGTGCATTGCATTTACCTCGAATCTCGGAGCGGGGAATGACGTCACACCCGAGTTAACCGCTCGCCAGTTGAGAGTTGTAAACAAGTGGGACAAACAACATGAACGCCTTCAGTCGTACCTTTTTGTTTAGTTAGCTAATACGAGGCGATGACATGCCCACAGATAGAACGTGCACGATACTACCGGTGTGATTGATTTAATTATACAAAAAGAGGACTACGTTGCTTTTACACACAATAGTTACGCCTTAAATGTTACTGTTGCCGCACGCAGCAGCCATGTTGGATTTTAACTTGGGCTACTGAAGTTGCTGTGTGTTTTCAAGTCGGAAAATTTGACTTCGGGGGGAAGTTCCTGATGATGTGACTGAATTTCCGACTTCAGAGATCAAATGGAACGCACCAAATGACACACGTCTTCACCTACACAAAAGGTTTAGGTTTTTACCCATGAGCCATTTCTTTATCACCCAGTTTAAAGCTACCCAGAGTTGTAATCCCTTTGATGCTAAACTGAACAGAGTAAGACGGTTTCCTTCTTTAAGAAGCTCTCCTCCCTCCTTTTCAGTCCGCTAATAGCTCGAGATTAAAGTATTAATTGAAGTATTTGGGAAAATTCCCACAAATTGAATGTGAAGAAAAATCAAGTTCTTGACTCGGTCACACGAAGATTGATATTTAATGTGCAGGGATTTGAATTGTAATTTTCTTTGAGAAATCCTCTCTAACTATAAAGCCAATAGAAGTACATCTGTTCCAGTGTCAATCACATTTCCTCAAATGACTTAAACCTTTCCCCGTTTCTCTCTCTGTCTCTTTGCAGATCATTCATTCCTGATAAGCACATGGTGTTTTGTCCTGAGCAGCTGTTGCGTGTTATTCTTGCTCACATCCACTACATGCCCGATCACTGGCAGGGCAACGCGCACAGATACGAGACGCGTGACCAGTTCTCGCAGCTCTTCCAGTACAAAGCAGTGAGTATGCACACTGAGCGGGGAATATCAAGACTCAAGCTAATTGATTGAATTAAGTTTTCATTACTAGACGTTTAAGCTGTCAAACAAAACAAACCTCGGTGTAATCACATAACTTGGATCATGGTTGTATTGCTGTGATAAAAGGCACTCACAGGTCCATGCTAGTGTTGAAAGCTGGTTTATGGTTATAACCTGTCATCGCTGCACATCTGCTATGACAAATCAAATTGCCTGCTCTAAAATAAAACTGTAGACATTTTGTAAAATACTCATTTACAATGTATTTTATAAGCAAACTTTATCCAAGCACATTTTTGTTTTGAAGGCAGAGCTTTACCCCCATGATGTTATTTGTATTTACATCTCAGAGAGAGCAGTAAAAACCACAGACGTCTGCTGCTTCTTCACAAGCCGATCTACTGAAAGAGAGATATTTTTATGGCATTCTGGGAAGCAGCTTCTTGTAACCTCATAAGTACCTCCACTCGCTGATTGTCCCAGCTGGTCGCAAACTGAATCTTTAATCTTAGAGTCTCAAATGTCTCAAGATTTTAATAATGAACAACCCATTTCCACTTATAAATCCGAGTTTCAGGAAGCCTTTTTTCAAGCTTGCTTAGCCCTACTCTGCTAAACGAGTGTACAGCGTTAGCCTTTTTCTCCTCTGTTTCCCTCCAGGTGTTCATCCTAGAGGAGCTGCTGAGTCCGGTTGTCACTCCCATCATCTTGATCTTCTGTCTGAGGAGGAAGTCCCTGGAGATCATTGATTTCTTCAGGAACTTCACAGTGGAGGTGGTTGGAGTAGGAGACACTTGCTCCTTTGCCCAGATGGACATCAGGCAGCACGGCCACCCTGCGGTGAGAGACTACGTTCAATGAGTACAAACACAGAGCAAACAGACTCTAAAAATAAATACACTGATTTGTTATAGACTGTTTGATGTGTATTAGATTATTGGTTTTGGTTGACGCCCTTTGCTTGCTCTGTAGTGGATGTCGGAGGGGAAGACGGAGGCGTCGATCTACCAACAGGCCGAGGATGGGAAGACGGAGTTATCTCTGATGCACTTTGCTATCACCAACCCCCAGTGGCAGCCTCCTCAGGAGACCACACATTTCATCAGCCAGCTGAAAGAACGAGTCCACAGAGAGGCCACGGGGGCAGACACACATCCACTCTCACTGTCTGAGTCAGAGGTGCATCTATAAACAAACCACACTCCAAGTCATTTGTTACATTTCATCACATGTTCAGAAGTTAACACGATCTTTTTGTCTTGCCCTTTTTCTCACTCTCGCAGCCAAAGAGCCTCATCGCAAACCTCTTGGCAGGTCCCTCCACGGGGACATCGGTACATTTCGGCAGGGACTCTTTGACAAATCATGCAGCGGCTGGCTTAAGCGATGGAGCATCGGCCTTGCGCTCACTCTCTCCAATCAGCAGCAGTCTTCACCTGAGAGGCAGTTTGAGTTCAGCTCAGAGGGCGACTGCTCACACTTCCACCATGAGCAAAGCAATGGCAGGTTCTGGGTAAGAAAATGTGATGCCTCAACTTAATTCCTTTTTTTTTAGATTTCTTTTTTGTTGTCTCTAAAGCTAAATGAGCTCCTGTAAATCTGACAGAACAGAGTCCGAAATGTAGCAATATGTTTTCAAGACCTTTATCGCATAATGAGAAAGTTAAACCCTCATTTAAATCCACTATTCCCTATAATTCCACTCTCTATATTTTCTAATTCAAATATCTATATCACCTCGTCTTCATGGTTTTTTTTTCCTCCTCTTTCTGCAGGACGGATGCCCGGACAGTGAGCTCAGGCAGCAGTGCATGGGAAGGTCAGCTCACCAGTTTGATCCTGTCAGAGTACGCCTCCACTGAAATGAGCATCCATGCTCTTTACATGCATGAGGTAATTGTTCCGAGAAAGAAAACAGAAGTCAACTGAAAGTCTGACATTGAATCCAATCTAACCGTTCTACTTCGATGAATTTTATAATCCTTGTAGCTACACAACAAGCAGTCCCATGGCGAGCTTTCCCGTCACACCTGGCACAGGCAGGAGAGCGATGAAAGCAGCGACAGCGTCCCAGATGAAGTGAGGAGCGAACCCAACCCTCAGTCCAGAAATTTCCCTCGCTCGCACACCTTCCCCGCAGCAGTTGCAAGTCCCAGTGCCATTCCTACATCGGCGTCTGCCAACAGCAGTACAACCATGGGCCGGGCGGGGGCGTCATCACAGGGCAGCAGCCAGCGACGCCACAGTGGACCCAACGCAGGTACCAAAACTTAGGACGCCTCTCGATGTTTCAGTCTTTGTGCATTTGAATGGAATCTTAGCTGAGCATTATAAAGGTGCAGCATTAAACAACTGTGATTGTGTTTGTTTTCAATGTGACTGAAATACAGGAAGGAACTTTTTATATAACCTTATACACTCAAAAAGTCTTTTGTTTAGTAAGGCTTCAAGAGGTCTATGTTGTTAAGTGCATTATGGACAGACCACTATTTAGACCGCATTACTGAACCTCAGACTGTCATGCTCCTGTGTGTGCCACGATTCCCAATGTGCAATATGATCTAACCCTCCACCAAGATAAAAGCCACTTTCCTCCACTTTTGCTGAATTGAAAAAAATAAACAAGAACAGTATCAAGTCAGGGAAGGAGGGTCTAGCTGTACAGTGCAGAGAAAATGAGACATTTCTTTTGTTTTCAGATTCCTTTGGTGCAGGGGGTAAAGTGGTAAGATCAGCCCGTGTGCCCATGGGAGGCTGGGAAGAGGAGGGTCAAGGAGCACCACGACACCATGAGCCAGTACCAGAGGAGAGCTCAGAGGACGAAATGCCTCCTCAAATACACAAGGTGAACTCTGCTTGTTGGTGATTTTACAGAGGGATGCTTGTGTGCACAACAATTACATGACCATGTTTTGTCTCCTTTCTCTCCTCAGATTACATAACAAAGCCCTGGGTCAGCTTCTCACTCTCCAGAGAAAAATGCAAACACACATTCTACACCTTTATCCAGGACTGACTATTTGATTCGGGCAAAGATGAAGATGGACATGTGCAAGAGAGAGATGTGCCCGTTTACGACGATCAACCTTTGGAAGATAGTGCACGACTTATTACATGCCTTAAAGGAAGGCAGGGTAGTTTTCTAGTTTGTATATCAAATGAGGACAGACAGGATCAAGTTACTTCTTATAGCCATTAATACCATCAGAATGAACACTACACTCTTTCTGTCATGTCAACAAATTTGATTTTGATAGTACATTTGTTGCTGCAGTGTAAAATAATGTGATCACTTCAGCTGGAAGCATCGTTATACTTTGCTGTTGTGCAAATTGTATTGTTTCCCCCCCTTCCCCTTCCCCAAAATCAAATGGCATTAGGAGCCAAATGTTAATGATGTATGTTGTCATGACAAAAGCAGCATTTGGAAAGATGCTGATAACAGACTTTCATCTGTTTTTGCACCATGAACATGAGGCTCCAGATCCTGACCTGTGCTCTTTATTTCAGCTTGCACCCTGCCTCTTTGCAAAAAAAAATCAAAGTCCTCACATATTAGGAAAATCAACTTACATTATATAAAATAATATATTTTAAAATCAGTTCTCAAATGTTCTGCAGCTTTTTGTGCTGGCTTTTTTTTTTATTTAAAAGCTAATGTACAACACAGCCTGGTATTCTCCACACACAAACACACACACAAGCACTTTGTAGATAAATGTTATCATGTTAATTCAAAGTTACCATTCAGATGATTTATTGATTCAAATTCTTACAATTATAAGGCCAACATGTTTGATTTGTCGCCAGAGATGCACATATTAATGTATTTTAACCAAGGTTTCATTGTTCCTCATGCAAAAAGGGTGCAGCAGACAAACCTGTTTAAAGCATGTAATATTGACTTCTGTGCCATACAAAAATCCCCCAAGCACAAGTGCATGACCACCATCCATACATTCTTCTTGAGAGTTGAAACACAACCAACACAAAGGCTCCTAAACCATCACCATGTTTTTACAATCCCGTTAGAAAACAGCATGACTTTCCCATGCTCTTCTGTTATTTGGCAGCAATTCTTTAAAAAAAAAAAAATAATAATAATGATGCACTTTAATTGATTTGTCAATGCAGAGGGTGTCACTTGTTTGTATGTGTATGCTGTCATATGTATATTTTTTAAATATTTTTTAAATAACTTTATTTATCAAAGGGAAGGTGCCATGTGGTAAACAGGAGTGAAACACTGCAAGTTCAGCGTTGACGTTTGATTAAAAGTGAGTGTGCTCGGGGTTATTTGTTCTATGAATATTGTAAAATACCATTTTGTACAGATGTAAATTCATCCATTAAAGACAAAGAATTGACTTATTGTGTGGACTTAAAACGGCGTCGCCTTGCTACCTTGTTAGCCTATGTTAGCACCAGTTAGCACATGGTAAGTTTCCAACTTTAAACAGCTAGTTAGAGAAGCTACAAACAACACTTTCGGTTATGGAGAACGAAACCGTCTTTGCAAAAGTGAAACGCTGTAATCAGACGATAACACGCATTTTTTAAATATTTTTAAATTATCCTTTGATGTTGCCGACAAGAGCCCGGATAGCTCAGTCGGTAGAGCATCAGACTTTTAATCTGAGGGTCCAGGGTTCAAGTCCCTGTTCGGGCGACACATTTTTTTTTTCTTCTCCGTCCATCATCGACCTGCTTCTTGGGTTCAAGACCCCCGAGTCTACATAAACGCACTTCTACTTTTATACATGTGGCTTTGTCCCACCGAGGTATCAATATTGAACAACTTATCTTAACTTTCATCTTTTTAAACAGGATATATGCATTTACTCAGAGCACCTGTACACTGTAGCCTACTCAGTTAACATCTTTACAACTAGTTGTAGGCTCTATTTGATCCCACTTTAAACTTCCACTCCACAAACCAAATCTTATGTAACTATTCACATATGGGAATTCACAATAAAAAGCTTAGAATTTTTTTTAAAGTCAGCTGATTTAACATTATGCAGTTAATTTCTTGGTTATGCCTATTATTTGTTATTGGCTGCAAGTAGAAGATTAACATTATTGATGTTTCTGTTGTGCTGAAACAGAATTAACACTTTGCTGATCATATTTGTGTAAGCTACTTTACTTATTGTAAATGACCTGCATTAATTAGGGAATTTGATGATTAAATGTGTGTTATTTAGAACAATAAGGTACTACGCTTCAGTAAAGGATCTATGTGCCTACTTATTCAATCACCAATTAAGCTTTATCAACATTCACTTCACTTGTCTACTTGGCTTGTATTCAATTTATTTAGCTTTTATTGTGTGTGCAAGTGAGTGTTGGGAAATGAATGAACCTCAGTAAAAATGTTATTTTTTCTAATTTTATTCAAATATTGCTTTTGAATTTTATAATATTAAATATAGCATTTCCATGAGGTGCAAATCTACTCAGGTATTAAAGATGATAAAAAGACTGTGGAAGGTAGATGCACAGTTCCCAAAGTCATTCTTCTTTTAATGAAGAACTTGGCTAGAGTTATATTCTCAAAGGGTTCAGCATTGTATTTTTCATAATGACCTGGTAGGCCTTCATCTTAGTACTCTTCATCAGTAATTCCACTATGTATAATAAAATAAACACAATATGTAAACATGTGAATGCAAGAATATTTCAATAGGATGAATCAATATTTGCTGAAGAACAAATCCCAAAAGAATAGCTGAGGATTGCGGATTGCTACTTCACATGTTAAGGTATTTCTCTTTGCAGGGCATGGTATAAATGTTTAAGTTGAAGCGCCTATAAGCATCAAGCCCATATATTAAAGGCCTTTAAATCTCCACAAAGCAGAACACAAGTCTAACCTCTCCTCTCCTTTTACATATTTAATATGCACTATTCTGAAACTATATTAATGTCATTGCATGTCTTTCTGCATGGGTAGCAGCAGTGTCACTACAAATACCAAATGAATACAAGTGGTAAAAATAGGAAATAGAGTATACATTGAAACAGGGTAAATAGATCTGGAGTTAATAATGTTAATTTAAAATCTCCAATAGGTCAAACTCTTTTTAAAATATATTGTATCTTACATGCAGAGTGGACACACTGCCCTTCCACCAATACTGCGCTTTAGTTTTTTCCATCACTACAAAGGTGAGTAAAGATTATTTATTTTTGATGTAAAGTTCTCGAGACAAGAAGGTAAAAGAAGCAATTTCCATATTAAACCAAAATCTAAACACTTAAACACTGGCTGCACGACCATAAAAAAAACTAGGCTTTAAATATGATTTGCCTGAAATCTTGATATTTTAAGTCATGCAAACCTTGTATATAGCCTGTATCTGTATGTTTGAATAAGAATTTTATGCAAGACAGTGGTTGCTACGCGAAACACCTGTTTACTACTGGTACTTAAACGGAATTGCATAAATCGGTCTAGGCTACTTGTTTTCTGTGCAGAGAAAGGGAAGACATCAATACTTACCAAGTTTGAAGATCTTCTGTTCTTTTCTATAACGATAGAATAGTGGGAGCTTTTAACTTAGTTTTGTAAAACATACTACATTTAAATCAAATCACGTTATAATGTTATATTGCAATAGAAAAGTCACAGCGGATCATTCACTTTCAACCATGCGTTAAGTGCAGCGATTGTGTTTTGTATTGGCTCTTCCCTGATTGGCTAAAAGAGCTGTCAATCTACGATGGGCGTTAAGAACAGCCGTTTGATTGGTCGTGCAGACTCCGCTTTTTGAGTGATACGCAACTAAAACTCCGTTGGCTGGAGTGGGAGGTATGCGACGATTTGATTGGTTCATTTGTTCACGGAATCTAAATAAGGGCGGAGTCAAGGTTGCTTGGCGGCCATACTGAATATTATCTGTTGACAGTTGTGTTTGAAGGAAGCTCTAAAGATTTTGATTTTCTTTAAGCAAACTTCTTCAAGAAGTGCAGGTCCGGTTGTTTTTTTTTTTTTACTTCAACGAGGCCTTATGTCCGAACCTTTTTTATAGTTGTATTTAACACAAGAGATGGATGAAGGTGAACGCCAGAGGAAACTAGAAGCTGGGAGAGCTAAGGTTTGTTGCTAACATGTAACGCACGTTAATACTGAATGCTAACAATTAGCTTTCAGTTAGCTCGCCAAGTCTTTTGTCACAGCTGAACGCTTTTCCTCTGCTAACTTTTACTCCCTTTCATGCAGACTGTACGTTGTGTTTGTCGTTGCTTAGTTCCTATTCGTGTCTGAAGCTACAGACACTTAAACGTGACTCGTTTGCCGCGCAGATGTCGCGGGTTGAATCAGCTGCAGGGTTTTGCACAAAGCTGAAAGTTTACTAAACATTTAGAGAGAAGGTTGGTCGACCAATTAATCGAATAACTTACTATTCACTTGAAATGAAGTTCAGACAGTAATATGCACTTGCTGAGTCAATGGGAAATTCTAGTCTCGAAACACTTTCACCTGTTTCAAGTGTGTATTTTGATTTCTGAATGCAGAGTACAGGTGCATCTGATGTTTAACTTTGTACTTAAAAGTGTTTTAATGGCCTGTGGTTAACTTAACTTGTATGTCATTTTTAACTAATACTTTTTTAGCAACTTAATATACAAGAATATTTATCTTAAGATAATTAAAAAAACACAAATAATAGGAGTTTTGCAGATATAAAATGTGCCTTTTAATAGGTGTTTGCACGAGTGTTACACAGATAATATGGCATACTTTCACAATCTTAAACTATCAAATCTCTTCTTTAAATGGTTGGTTAATACACTGAACGCTGCTGTTTAAGCAGTTATTAATATGATGTATGAAAGGACTGAATTATTGTTAATTTAAGATTTAAAAAAATAAAGGAAAAGGGGCATTTAGTTGAAACACCTTTTGGAGTAATAGACTCAAGAATAGCTTGCTCTGTATTAACAAACGTGCCCAATTGAAAATTTTTAAAATTCTCCTCTTCAGAGAATCTTAATCCATTGCATTTAGACAGAATCTTTATTATCTTTTGTATACAAGGACGCAACAAAACTTCGTTAGCAGCAATCCTAAACAGCAGCGTTTACAAAAACAACAACAACAAAAATATATTTGTGGTGAATGAGAGAGAAGTATGTAAAAAGTGGCCAGAGCAATTGCTGTTCAGTGAATGAATGATAATAATAATAAATAAATAGACAGTCGTGGTGACTGAAAAAATATATACAGTTATTATTTTTGCAGTGACTGATTAATTAAACAAATATAAATATAGAGATATAGTGCAGATAAGTGAAGTTATAGTGCAGTGAAAGAGTATATACAGTTATTATTGTGCAGTGACTGAGTAAATAAATAGACAATTATAAAGTAGTGAATTACAAAGTTATTGCACAAGTAATATTGAACAGTTATCAGTGGTTAGGTAATTATTGCACATTGTATTCCCGTCTTGTTGGGGGGGGGGCATTGACGTTCAACTCTGTACCAGTTCAAATACAAAGTGCTGGTGCATTAGTATGATGCAATATTTTTAGGATATAACTCCACTAAACCACTGATGTTTCTTATGACAGAAGTCGTCCACCATGCCTCCAAATAAGTCGGTAAGTATAGAAACTGGTGACTGGCGGACACTTAACTTAATCAATCTGTTGGGCACTTTCTCTCATTTCGGTCTTTTTGTAATTTGGTTCATGTCTATTGGGATGCATAATCAGGGCTTTTTTTCTGCCTTTTTGAAGGATGATATGATCGCTGTACACTTGAGATATAAAACAACGGTGTTGAAAAGATTCTCACAATCGATAAACTGAAGGGAGTCAGGTTTTGAATAATAATTTAAATGTCTCATGTTGCCACGCGTCAGTCATATACACTGTCATGTTGGATGTGGGCCATCAGGTGGTGCAATAAGGCCGTGAGATTTGTTGAGGTGGATTATAGTGCACTTGTAGCTCACATGAATGATGTTGCTATGGTAATGATGTGCTGTCATTTGACGCATCACAAAGCTTTACAGAAATTACGGCACACATGCGAAGTACAAAACACACACACACACAAACAGAAAGGAACCATGAGGTGAATAGATGTTGACGTAGCTGAGAACACAATAGCAGCATCCAGCTGTCCAGTAACATCTGATGTGGCTGGAGTAAGTGTGTTAGTCAGATCCTCGGTAGTGCAGAAGCAGCCTTGGGCAAAACACAGCTCATCTGGCTAATGTGTGTTTCCGAAATGTTATGGCAGGCGGAGGCGGTTAACAGGGTGACAGAAGGACACTATGTTAAGAATGGGTTTTTAAGTCATTAGGAGTATGAAAGCAGTGTAGCAATGAAAGGTGGAGGTGGAGTGTGCAGG